ACCATAATCAATTTTTCTCTTCAGGTATATATCAAGACATAAGAATGCAAACTCGAAAATATGGAGAATAGAAGAATATATAGGGAAAATGGCTTTTTTAGACCAGAACCATTAGGACATTGTCCCTTTAGATTAATCTCATTTACTTATTGTCCTATTATACTAAATATTTTTAAATGGTAATACTGCCCTTAAAATTAATTTATTAATTTATAATTATAATTATAATTAGAAAATCATTATTATCTATTTCAGATTTAATTAAAAACTAATTTGAAATTTAAAAAAATATTAAAAAATCCCCATACTAATTCGAAATTAGTTTTTCCTTTTTTTTAAAAAAAAAAACTCGAATTTAAAAATATGGAAACTGAATATTTCCAAATATTTTCTCCTATATTTTCGGGTCTGATTATTTTTATCCATAGAATACATCTACTCTATTAAAATAGAATCCTTCTTTTTATCTACTAATACAAGATGTCATTTAAATTTAGACCATTTCTTGAGTGTTACAAATAATACAAACCATATAGTTAATTGAACCACATCTAATCTATTAAAATAGAGACATTATTTTTATCTACTGATACAAGTTGTCATTTAAATTTGGATCCTTTCTAGAGTGTTACAAATAATATAAGTCTTATAATTGATTGAACCGCATTAATTAAATTAAACCAACACAATTAATGTAACATGGCGACCTTAATGTAAAGTATCTTCAAAATACGGCAGATATCTATGTGTCTACCATAAACACATATTTTCTCCTACAAATACGGAATGTTCTAAAAAATATATGTATTATCAAAATATGGAATATGGAAATCTAGTAATTATATTAATGTGGAAATCGTAATATACCATTTAGCATCTTAACAGTTCCTTAAAAAATGGAAATTTAATAATTATATGAAACCAATGAAAATCTACTCTATTAAAATATAGTATTTCTTTTTATCTATTAATACAAATTGCCATTTAAATTTGCACTCTTTCTAGAGTGTTACAACAAGCCATATAGTTAACTGAACCACATTACTTAAATTAAACCGATGTTATTTATGAGATATAGTCTTGGGCTTACTTTTGTTTTTAGGAAAAATTATATAGTTTGATTTTTAGGCTTACTATTAAGGAAAAACTCCAAAAAACATTGAATAAAATTTATATCTTAATGGATCAAAAAATCAATTATTATTTTCAGGTCCAAATGTATTTAATATTTTTAACAAAACAAAATTGTCTATTATTAATCATTTATTTAAATCATGTACTTTAAAACATGTTATTGTATTTTTTATTTTAAATAATAATCACTTTTTTGATAAATTTCAATGGTAACTTTTAAATAATTTATTATTTTATTTTTCTTAAATAATTTACTGATTTTAAAAAAAAATGTAAAGCATAACCAAAAACCAATTCTAAAACCTAAAACCCAAAACCAAAAGCTGAAAACGCATTGGTATGGATAACATATTGTTATAGTTTTTTCTTTGGTTTATTTACAAAATAAACTATTGCAATTTTTTTAAAAAATTTTTTTGTCATCTTTTCAGTTTTAAATTAGATGTTCGATTATTTGAAATTTGTTTCTTGGTAATATCAGTTCAAACTAACTCAGCGGACTAAAAATTAAAAACTCAAACAAAAGCTGGAAATCAAAAATAGAAACTTAAAAACTAAAAATAAAAACTAAAACTAAAAACTAATGAAAAAAATCGTCACCACAAATTTTGATAAACTGATTTTATACCAAAACATTCTTTAAATTAAGACATAACCCAATTATATAAATTTTAGTTATAAAAAATTTCCGCGCTTTCAAGCGCGGGTCAAAATCTAGTAACAGTTATATCCTCAATTAGAATTTCACATAATTATTTTATAAAATATATTAATAATGAAATATCAAATAAAATAATAAAAATATTTTCTTTGAATTTATTTTTCAAAACCTTTATGAATATTTTTGCTTCAAAAAAATTTCCACAATTATTTTAGAGAAATTTTTTTTCCTGAGATGATTTAGAAAAACCTTCATGAATATGTAAGATATTTTTTTGAATGGGTAAGATATCTTTATTTTTTTTCCAAATTCAAGAGTACCTTCATACATGTAATTAGATTTCTTGGGCGTAACTTTTACAGTAAAACCTCTATAAATTAATAATGTTGGGACTTTGAAATTTTATTAATTTATAGAGATATTAATTTACGAAAGTTTCCTTATTTAGATTTTTTTAAATTTTTTCCATTTTTATTTATAAAATAAAAAAATATTTGTTTTAGCATATGTACATTATGTGAATTTTAGAAATTTGACTTTTATATTGTTTTATTATCTTATTTGGTGTATATTTTTATGTTTCATAGAATTGTTACATGGTTTTTGATATAATTTAACTAAATATGATTAAAATATATTGAAATGTTTAAAAAATAAAAGTATTTTAATAGTAAATATAAAACCCCTAACTAAATATTATCAAAATATATTGAAATGTTTAAAAAAATAAAAGTAATTTTATAGTAAATATAAAACCAACAATATAATGTTAGATTGTACTTATATAAAATTATATATAGCTAGATTATAAATTTATGATTTTAGTGGGACCATATATTTACATGGTAGTTTTAAAAATATTATTATCTTATTATTTTATCGATTTGTGTCATATTTTACACCGGACCAAGTTGGGACCAGGGAAATTTATTAATTTATAGAGATTATTAATTTATCGAGTATTAATTTATAGAGGTTCTACTATATTAATATTTACGAAGGTTTTCCTAAATGTCTATGATACTTATATGCATACTTAGGAAAGTATACTTATATGATACTTACTGAATATATCATAATTTTCTAAGAATTTACGGAAGGATTTATATATGTATAGCATCTTTAAACTGTAGATATCAAAGTCAGGATAGTCTTCTTACATTTAGGAATTTTTTTCTAAAGTTTAATAAATATATTTTTCATATTTATATCTTCCTAAATTATAGAAATATATTATCCTTATTCGCTAATATTTTCCTATATGTCCATATAACTCAATTTCACGAGAATGCCATACACTTTCAAGAATGTGTTACTAAATTTCTTTAAACAGAAATTAATTCCAAAAATTATTTTTTAAGGAAAATAAATTTTAATAGAATATTTATTTAATATATTTGAAATGAAACGATAAAATTGTTATTTATTCCCTTAATTAAACATAATTTTGTTATTTTGATCTTTGTAGACTAAATTAGAAACTAAAATATGTTTTTGGACGATTTGCCTTAGGAGTGGACATTCGGATACACGTTCGGATATCAATCATATATTTCAAAGTGTTGGGTATTTTAATATAAGGGTTTCGTATCCATTCGGATATTTCTATGAAAATACATATATAACTGAATACATATACCATCCCTAATGTTTTATGAAGACCTTCCTGAATTTAATATCTAAAGTTTAAAGATGTTATACATATATAAATCCTCTCCTAAATTTTAGAAATTTGGATATATAGCTTAAATATATCCAAATTTAAGCTTCCCAATCTAGACCTTCATGAATATGTATGATGTTTTTTGAATGCATATTTTTATATTTTTGGTCAAATTGGTTATTTTGGATTGAATTTGGATATATAGCTTTTGCAAAAATCAAGTTATTCATTGCTTAAATTTCCTGGATTTAAAAATATATATTTATTTAACTGATTTTTAATTTTGAATAAGATGATTAATAGGTTGCGAGACTACAATTAAAAAACAAAAATACAAAAAAACATTAACTTGATTGTTGTTTTAAATTTGTAGATGCAACTTTTGTTAATTCACGAAATAAGAGTTTGATATATTTTAAATGAACAGTAAATCACTTTTTCAAAATTATATATATATATATATATATATATATATATATCTTATTATATAAAGTAGAGTTTTCTCTCTTTTGAGTGTGTCATCTCACTAATTAAGTTTATGTAATAGTGACATGTATCCTTTTAAAAATTTGTATGTTTTTGTCTTATTTGTGGGCTTTACGAATAAAACCCATAATCCTATTCGTCTTCAACTAAATCTATTTTGGGTTTTTGAGATTCTTTGTCTTCTTTACCTTCAACTTTACCGATCATAGAATTTGTTGCAGATGATGGAAGACTACTTTTTAAAAAAAAACCTTGAAATCAGGGAAGCAAATCCTCAGTGTCAAGAGTTTTTCTAATTCCATTGAGAAGCTAGGCCATTTCTGGGGATTTCTAAGCATCCCGATCATCTTTTTGCAATCAGTTCCAAAGCTCTGACATAGAGAATATTGAAGCATATTCTCCATTGTCCACCGCAATGCCTCCAACTTTGAATAAAACGTAGACTCCAATCTATCAAAACTGTGCAACCCCATTAACTGACTGTTACCCAGACTTATAGCATAGTGATGGAATGGCGGACCCAATAGCGCTTATGTCATATGGGAACTCATGGCTGGAAACAATCCTTATGGTTTTGATATCCGGTAGGAAGCCCCTCGACGCTGCTATCTGTTAGGCTATAGATTACAGGAACTTCCTCAACTCCGTCCCCTGTGAATGATGATATAGCCAGCTCATTTGTTCGAAACCAGGCCTGACGATATTATGTAAAGTTTTTAGCTCTAATTTGCTTCAAATATAATAATAATATAGTTTTTTTTTATCTTGTCTATATGCAAATAACGTTATTGGATCAAATAAAAGTTTAGTATTTGTTTTTATGGATTTTATTTATTAGTATTTGATTTGTTACATAAAATTACTGGATATCCGTTTTGTTTTTATGAATCAATCAAATCACGTTTTATGGATTTTTTTATTTGCCAGCCTCTGTTCTGATTTCTTACCTTTTGTACTATACGAAATTACATATTAACCTTGGTTAACAAAACTCTATAAGTATTCTTCGACTCTCTCGGCAGATCACCGCCATTCAAACAACACCAAAAGGAAGAAATGAGGACTCTGGAAAACACTGCTCCGGTTAACGGCAACTATCCATCCTCCATCGTTCGAGCTACCATTGTCCAGGCCTCCACCGTCTATAACGATACTCCCAAAACTATAGGTAACTTCATTATTATTATTTAGGTGTTTAGAACTACCGAGTGCCTGCAAGCCATTGAGCCTAGCCTTAAATGAAGTAAAACTTTATCAAATGATTTACTTGAGTTTGCAGACAAGGCGAAGATGTTCATTGAGGAGGCGGCGAGCAAGGGATCGGAGCTTGTGGTATTCCCCGAGGCGTTTATCGGTGGGTATCCTCGTGGGTTTAGGTTTGGTATAGCTGTTGGTGTTCATAACGACGAAGGTCGGGATGAGTTTCGCAAATACCATGCTTCAGCCATTCATGTCCCTGGTAAACAATCTTCCGTTTTTTGAATATTTTCTTTTGTTTTTGGGTCCACTAGCGTTCTACTTTCATATGTTTATTTTGTTTTGAATACAATGTTGTTTCGTAATTATCTAATATTTATTTCCTAAATAAGAACAAAATTTCAGATACATAATGATTTTCAATATCCGTGAAAACCGTTTTCTGATTCTCTATTCATCACTTAGAATTGCTTAGTCATTAAGTATATGTTCCACGGTCACGGTGCCAGGTTGCCGGCCTTTGTTTAAGTGTAATCTATATGTCTGCTATAATTTACTATACTTTTAAAGTTTTCCGTCTTCTCCTTTATTCTATTAAGCGAGCATTGTAGTTAGAGAATTTTTTTTTTTGTAACAAATCAAACGCAACTTTGAAGAAGAAAAGACATGTTTGATTTCAGAATTCTCTGATAATTAAACCTTTAGATCTAAAGTTGCCAGAACAAGCTTCTAGTTAGAAATAATTAAGTACTCATGAATTAACCAAACGGTTATATCTTGGGATAAGTTGGAATGCAAGGTAGTTGAAATTTAATTGAACACAACAAGCTTGTGTCCCAACTAACTCTTACTTGAACATTCATGGTGTTTTTTTATTGATCTACAGGCCCTGAAGTAGAGCAACTTGCGGATATGGCGAGGAAAAACAATGTGTACTTGGTAATGGGGGCTATAGAGAAGGATGGGTATACACTCTACTGCACAGCCCTTTTCTTCAGTTCCGAAGGTAAGTTCTTGGGTAAGCATCGTAAACTAATGCCTACATCTCTCGAACGTGTAAGAATATTTTATATTCTATGTGACCTATATGTCTATTGGTTTAATATAAAGTTCAAATTCATATTAATGATTATAGATTCTAATATAAAAGACAATACTGTGATGGATCGGTTTTGATTAAAGAATTAGAATCCGGGTGTATTGATAACCCTCCTACTTTACCTTATGTTTACAAATGTATTTAATCTCATGATCATATATGTTAAAAGTAATGATAATGGAATACATTACTATTAATAATATATATGAGTATACGTACGTTGTGGTAAACGTTAATATATAACCAATGGTTGTGGTGAGGTCTTAAAGAGTTGTGTTGGTTGAGACTCATGTCTCTTTGACTCATATAAGAAGACCTCTACATTATTATTTTACTCGTACGGTAGAAAACGAGAATATCAAAAACACACAACAATACTGGTTATTTTAAAAGTGAGATTAAGGAAGGTTTGGGATTTCTTGTCCATCAAGGAAATCACCAAAAGAGAAGGTTAAAGAGGAGAACATCAATTGGTGGGGTTGCATTCAAGCATGGATCAAGGTTAGTGTTTTTACTTTCTCTAGAAACAAGTTAGGATTGAATTAAGGCAAATCTAAATTAGATCTTGGTGTGATTCATAATTGAAATCATAAATCAAATTAACATGTGGTATCAGAGCCATCTTAGATTTGTTTAATTCATCTTTAAAGGAATCTGTTTGATTACATGATGCTTGTTGTGAAACGTTCGCATTGAATTTTGAACTTAATTATTAAAGTTACGACAGTGAAAATGGGTAGCGTCTAATGATGCGATACGGTTAACTCTAATTGTCGTAAAAGATGTTTTGCATGAGTAAAGTTCATATTCTTTGAAAAGTTACGAACGGTTCATGTGTCAGTTAATATGCTTGTTTGAATAAAACTGTTGAATTGAAATCTGGGTTTCTACTGTTGTTAAGTAAAATTAGTGAATTTCCTTAAATATTTTGGAATATTGTTAATTCACGAGGTTTACATTTTCGGTGATAACCGTAAAGGAATTGCACTCATAATATTAACGTTTGCTTTCATGCGATAAGAAATATCTGGATTATTAATTAAGTCATTCCAGAATGAGAGTAGATTCTTAATTAATCTGAGTGCATTCGATGTTTGAATCATTACGTAAGATTGCTTGCATGAAAGAAACGTTTTGTGTTATTCATTCTGGATTATTTGATAGCATACGTATAACTGTTAGCACATGGTAATTCATCTAGAATGCATAAACGTAAATTGTTTATTGTAGTAAATTCATATTTGAGTGATCAACGTGTGTTATGTTGTCGTTGTCACATTTGGGTTAATGGTATTTTTTGCCAATAACATAAAACAACATACGGCATAACTAAATCAAATATGCATTTAGAGTTAATTTAATTTAATTAAATTAATAAAGTGCTTCCGCGCATTTGAAGATGTTAATAATAATTATGTTATGAAATATTAACATAATTTAAATAGTTTTTTTTCCTTCAGTATTTTTTTTTTTTTTTTTTTAATATTTATATTGTATATAACATATTAATCACCAAAGTGATCTTGTTATATTATATATAAATATTAAAAATTGTATAGTTAATTAATTGATCAAAATATCAGGGATGCTAAATGACATAAAATATTGATAGATCAATTAATTTATTTTTTATATATTCTATGAAATTACCCAAAGGTGAATCAATGAATATAATTAATAAAAGAAAGGATTAGTCATTTTTTATTCTAGTTGATAATATGTATATCCAAAGATAACATATTTATTTGATTAGTGTTTAATTTGATTAATATTAAAGTACATATAATTAGCATCAATGAAAGTACTTGTATTTAAATATTGCCCAAAGGTTATTTTAAATATAAGTGTTAAAGTTCCTGTTAGTCTGAATATATATTAAAGTCTCAAAGCACTAACGGGTAAACATGTATGAATGCTTGCAGCTTCATCAAATGTGTTTGCATCTGCTAACTCTGTGGTAAAGTTTAATGGCCTCAACTATGGTGAGTGGTTCGAGCAAATCCGGTTTACACTGGGTGTAATGGCTTTGGACTCTGCCATACTAACTGATGAGGAACCCTCAGCTATTACAGTTGATAGCTCTGAATCTGAAAAGTCTCGTTATGAGAGATGGGAGCGATCTAACAGGCTGAGTTTGAACCTTATGAGGTTGACGATGGCGGAAAGTATTAA